AAAGTCGGACCCATTATTGATGTATTGAAGGATGCTTTCGTAATTTCCTAAGATGAATTCGTTTTGTTTGTTTCTTTTAAATTTATTTTACTATACTAAATAATTCTATAAAATATTATGAATCACGATAATTAATTACTTAAATATTTAAAGATATAAAAATATATAAAAGATCTGATTGACTCTTCAAATTTTACCGGTGACACATAAATTGGGACAAATTAAATAATATATATTATTTGAAAATTTCTTAGAAAGTACTATAAATTACAGTAATTAACAACTAGAAATATTTCAAAGACAAAAAAAATTGATTGAATCTCAAATATTTTTTAGTACTACATAAATTGAGAAAGAAGAAATGACCTATATTATTTGAAAATGACGTAAAAGTATTATAAATCATACAATAAGAATTAACAAATTTAAAATATTAAAAGACTTTAATGCTTTATACTTATTATATTTCCACTTTGGACAAAAATATCCTCCCAATATGCATATTTTTTTAAACAAAAAGTGGAACCCATTATTGATGTATTCAAGGATGCTTTGGTAATTTTCCTATGATGAATTCGTTTTTTTTGTTGTTTAATTTTTTTTTAAATAATTGTATAAAATATTATAAATCACAATAATTATTTACTTAAATATTCAAAAGATATAAAAATATGTAAAAGATCTGATTAACTCTTCAAATTTTATCGGTGACACATAAATTGGACAAATGAAATAATATATATTATTTGAAAATTACTTAGAACGTACAATTATTTACAGTAATTAACAATAGAATATTTTAAAGACAAAAAAAATTGATTGAATCTCCAAATTTTATTAGTACCACATAAATTGAGAAAGAAGAAATAACCTTTATTATTTCAAAATTGCGTAAATTACAAATCATATAACAATAATTATCAATTTAGAATGTTAAAAGACATAAAATTTTTTTTACCATAGTTAACAATAATTAAAAATTTAAACTATTTTAAATTAATATTAAAGTTTGATTAACTCTTTAATTTTGTCATTGTCACATAAATTGAAACAAAAAAGAATACATATTGGGCCTGTGCTAGCACGGGCTCTGATGTCTAAGTGTGTATATATATATATATATGTCAATGTGTTCAATTTGTGTGGGGTTACTTTGTTAAATTGTGATGATTTTTTATCTCCACAAATTAAATTGCGAACAATTTAGAATTTCCACAATATAATCTGAGTGTTTTAAGAAATTAAATTTATGTGCTAAACTTTAACTAAATGATATCAATATTTACATAATCTAATTTTTGAAGGCTTATGAACGCCACAAATTCTTAATTATTTTGTTGCTCTTTTACCCCATTACATTTTTATCTATAATTTTATTTTGTCAGATATTAAAAAATAGACAAAAAAAGAAGAAGTGAGTATTCTTAACTTTAGATTGGGGAAATGATATTAACAGATATGTAAAACATCTATTATGAAAATAATTATATTAATAAGGAACCAAAATTAGTGAAAAATGAGACTTTTCTTACCGATATTGGTGAGTTTTTTTCTTAACTTGTTTTTTTAACTATGATATAGAGCCTTGTTAAATTAAATTTAATATAGATATCTAAATTTTAAATCTGACAGCTACTACCACTTGTCTAAATATATATATAGATACTGATTATATATGAGGAATAATTAATAGGACAAAAAATAATTTAAATATGCATTATTGAATAAACAGTATCAAAGTTTAGGGTCCCGATATATTATGGAAATTATTTATTTCATATAATAACAAAGTAGAATACTGACATATATAACGGGAAGTGGAAGCAAATTTAATCTATTTCTATCACAAATGCAGATCATGCATGTGATCGATACACTTTCTTTATTACTCATGTGATACCTTTTGCAGGGGCGATTTTAGAGGGTAGTCATGGTTCATTCGAATTTCTTCGATAATTTTTTTTTATATATAAAAACGGATATTTTAAGAGGGTGTTCGGATTAACTTATTTTTAGGTATTTTTAACTTTTAAGAATTTAAATTTTGGAAGTGTTTGAAAATGTTGAAAAGTGTTTTTAAGTACTCACCTTTAGGCCAAAAAAAGTTTTAAAATAAGTCAAAAATCAAAAGTAGAATATTACCTATTTATGACTTATGACTTATAAGTTTGTGTGTTTTTGTTTTAAATAAAGTTTATCTAATCGGACTCTAAATCTCTTGAACATAAGATAATAGATTTGCTTAGTGATCGAAGAGGTTCAAATTAAAATTAGGTTCTAATTTCAAATCTCATGACAAATTTGGTCAGAGGGAGTAGTGTATATTATGTACATACTTGGTCATATATACTGGCGCTCTCTCTCTATATAAATGTATATGAAGGTAGCCAAAACAAATACTCCCAATCAATAAGCTAAGAGCATTTATTGTACTAAAAGCTATACATAAATCTTTTTTCTTGTTTTTCAATCATGGCTCAATTAGCATTAACACCATCACTTGTTTCCATTTGTGATAAATCCATTATCAAACCTTCTTCTCTCACCCCTTCTACACTCAAATACCACAAGCTATCTTTGGTTGATCAATCCCTCAGTAATATGCGTATTCCTGCTTCCTTTTTTTATCCCAAAAAACAAAGTAGTACTGATGATGCAATAAATTCTCATGAATTATCTCATATAACTCATTTACTGCAGAAATCTTTATGACAAACTCTAATCTCTTACTATCCTTACGCAGGAAGATTGATAGACAATGCTACTGTTGATTGTAATTGACATGGGTGCTGAGTTGTTGAGCGTCCAAATAAAATGTCCCATGTCTGAAATACTTAACCACCCCGATCATTGTAATGCAGAAAGTTTAGTTTTCCCTAAGGGATTACCTTGGAATAACAATGTCTATGAGGGTGGTAATTTACTTGTGGCTCAAGTAAGTTTGATTGTGGTGGAATCACTATCAGTACATGCCTATCACACAAGTTCGGTGATGGTTGCTCTGTGCATAGTTTTCTTGCAGATTGGGCTAGCGCCACACGTAATTTATCAATTCCTTCTGCTCCTAGATTTGTAGGAGATTCAGTCTTTGTATCTCCGCAAAATAATAATATTGGTCCTTTGATTGCTCCAATAATTGAGTCCAACGTTAATGAGTGCATACAAAAGAGATTTATTTTTCCTAATGCCAAATTAGATGCTCTTCGAGCTAAGGTAATAGCTGAATCAGGATTGCAAAATCCAACACGAGCTGAAATTGTGAGTGCCCTTCTTTTCAAATGTGCAACAAAAGCAGCATCAAAACTAACTTCTCACCGTTCAATGCGGGCATCTAAGTTGGTTCACTATTTAAACGTACGTACTATGACCAAACCTCGTCTACCCCGAAATGCCATAGGAAATCTCTTGTCTGTGTTCTCAGTAGAAGCAACTAACGAGGAAGAAACTGAATTACCGAGGTTGGTTCGTAATCTAAGGAAGGAAGTTGAAGTAGCATACAAGAAAGATCAAGTGGAACAAAATGAATTGATTGTGGAAATAGTTGAATCGATAAGAAAAGGAAAATTACCATTCGAAACAGGGGATGATGAATGTGATATGTATTTTTGCAGCAATGTTTGCAAATTCCCATATTATAGTGTGGATTTTGGATGGGGAAAACCTGAAAGATTGGGTGTACCGAATGGTCCTTTCAAGAAGATGTTCTTCTTGATCGATTATCAAACTGGGCAAGGCGTGGACGCGCGTGTGATGTTGCAAAAACAACAAATGAATGAATTTGAACGCGATGAGGAACTCCTCCACTTTGTTTTATAACTTCCAATTGTTCCGAATTCATTGATCTCCAAGTCATCTCGGTTAATTGATTTACCTTTTACATTCTGTATTGTTTGTGTTATTTCATAATATATCGTATCATGTTTGTATTATCATAATAAAGAATTATTTTCGTTTATTTTTAATTGTTATAGTTTTTTTTTTAGAGTCAATCGATAAGTACTTTGACTAACATTTTATTGATGTATTTTTTCATCGTATTGATATGCAAAAAAATTGCAATTTTTAGTACTTTTTGTATAGTTTTTTAATATCTAAATTTTTTATTTAAAATATCGAATTAATGTAATATAATTTCACTTTGAGAATTAGTCAAATTCACTTTTAAAAAACGCAACATGACAAGTAAAAGTGGACGAAGAGAGTAATACTTAGTTGTCGTTGTTGTTAACATTTTTCTTACTATTTGAGAAAAATTAAACTAAAATAAAAATGATAATTTTCTACTACTACTATTACTATACAGTAAAATATCATTAATTTTTGGAAAATTTATCAAAATTCCACTAATTTAGGAGTTAATCACTTAGGTATACTCTTTAATTTGCAATATTATGAATCTTACAAGATTTTAGGGGTCGTTTGATTGGAAACAAGTTATCCCAGGATAAGTTATCATGGGTTAGCTATCCTGAGATAACTTATCCCCCTATGTATATGGGATAACTTATTCCATCACTATGATATAAATGGTTATCCTAAATATGGCAATCAAACAACATATTTTTTTTTTATCCCATCACTATTATTTTTAATCCCTCACACCAAACGCGCTAGTGTGTCCAGGTACTTTCAAATACATGTATCTTGGGATACGTGTGATCAAACTAGATGTTATTTGTTCTATATCAAAGTGAATTCATATGTACCTGGAATAGTGGAACAAATCTTGCTCGCTACTCTTTTATTTATCTAGGATCTCATGTCCATGCGAATCACACCACATACATACAAATACATGTATCTAGTACGTTGGTATGATTCATATGTATATGAAATATATGACTATCTCTTCTCTCACTATTTTAATTTATCTGATAGCAAAATTATGTATATATTTTCGATATGTATGATAAAAAACTTTTAATCAGCAGTAAGCTAGTTTCTCCATAATTTTTACACGCGGAAGGGAAGAAACCCGCCGGGCCCCATTGCCAGTTTTTAGCTTTCTTTTCTTCATATAATAATCTGACCGGAACGAATTTAGCATTAGAGCAAAGTTTGTGGGCCAAAACGATAAAACAAACAAATTCAGTCAGCTTCTCCGGGAAGCTAAACAACAACAAAACCCGGTTCAATTAGGGTTCTCAAAATCCCCGCCTTTTTCACAACTCCCTACAGGCTACAATGCCGAGCGAAAACGATAATCCCACAACGCCATTGGCAGCGAAACTGAACTCAAACCCTAGTAAAGACCAGTCTCCAGCTCGCTCCGAGTCATGTTCTTCACTTCCCCCTAGTAACTGCAATGGCAATAATAACTGCAAAATTAACGATGCCAATGGCATTGATAATTCACCGTTGCAGAGAAATCCGCAAAGCCCTGAAGATTTTATACTATCGGTGGCTTCGAAAATTGCGTCTCAGCCTTTGCAGTATTCTGATCCTGATGTTTGGGGAGTGTTAACTGCTATCTCCGATAAGGCCCGGAAGCGTCTTCAGGTCTATATTCTTCTTCAATACCTCCACAATGCACTATGTTTCTCTCTACTAGGGGCTTTTAGTACCTTTATTTGATTCGAACCTCAGTAATCAGTATAAATATTGAAATTTTTTTGTGTTAGAGAACCACAAATTATTGGCAAGTTGAGTGATCAATTTTGCTCTACCTTTCAAATTACCAAAATCCATATCCTTTATTCAAGTTTAAGACTTGCTATTATTTGAAGCTCACAGAGGCGGAGTTTGTGGAGTAGGAAAAATGAGTTTTGGTAATTCTAGAGTGGACCAAAAAGCTGTATTCCGACCTCTTATTGAATTTGTTAGCAATGGAGGTGTCTTTATTAACTAGTAGGACTGATAACCTTTTTAGCTTGGAGGGTCTATTTCCTAGTTCAAGATCTCTTTTACTAACTAGAATCTAAGAATTAGTAGATCTTCCGCCAGAATAGGAATTGTATGGATTGAACTTTTTCAATCTTTTGGTAACCAAAATAATTCTTTGATAAATTGTGTTAGACGTTGTTGAGTTTTACGTAAATCCTCATTTTGATTTCATTTTACGTACATAAGTTACATGTTTATTTACTTCGACAGGACACACATATCTAAATTTGATGTTTATGATACTTTTTTCAGACTGCCAATAGTATGTAGGTATCAAAAATTAGCATTCATTTTTTTCAAGTTACATTTTTGACTGATCTTCTTCCAACCAAAGAAATGATCTGTCCTAAAAAAAAAGTTCATCAAAATAATGAGTCACCACTGAATTGATACAATGTGAATAGTCTGCTAAGAATGGATTGAGACTTCACAATGGTTTAATGTGCTCGAAGAGAATATGCACTATTGACCAGGAATAAGCTGTTGCATGCAAAGCTTTCTAAGTAGATATCCTTGAAGGGTAGGACTAGGACAAGCTGGTACATCCTAAGTTCCTGTCAAGACTTCTTTAAAGGCTAGACCCAAAACTGAAAATCTGGTATGTTGCATCAAAGTATATATCTGGATGTGACTTGAGTATTCCAGTATAAAATGAAAGCGGCAAACAGAGTTTTGGATGAGTCTTTCAAGCCTCCATTAGACAAGGATTTGAAACTATCACATATGATATAGGTATCTGAAGATCTATTAGAAGATTTAATGGAATTGAAAAATTCAATTTGGATTAGAGATTTCACCAATGGGTTATCCTTACCACCACAAGTCGTAGATTGAATATACGAGGATATACTCTCTGTTTGTGCATGCTCGTGTTGGGTCATGCCATCCTTAATTCTGATTGCAGATTGCAGTCGATGAAGTAAAAGTTACTAAAGAAAAAAAAGAGAGAGAACTGTTTGTCACTTTTAAGTATTGAATTTAGTATGCAGCATATCATGCTTTACATTATTGAACCATTCCTTGTAGTTTTATATTCTGACCTTCGTTAAAATAGGGGATAAACATGCTTCTCACATCTGAAGAACACTGCATTGGTCGGATGGTAGATAATACCCGTTTCCAGATTTTGTCTCCAGCTGTTAGTGCACATCATTGCAAGATCTACAGGAAAAAGGTTGTCAGCGAAGACGTAGAGAATCCCACCAACTGTTGCACTGCAGTCTTTCTGAAAGATTCAAGGTTGACCATCTTTTGTCGACCTTTTTTTTATGTTGCAACTTGACACGAGTTAACTAATCTATTTTGGTTCTTCTGCAGTACAAATGGGACGTACCTGAATTGGGAAAAGTTGAACAAAAGTAGCCCAGAAGCCAGACTTCGTCATGGTGATATTATCTCTATTGCGTTTGCTCCTCAACATGGTAGAGTATCTATTTTTGAAACTTTTCTGGCTGCTTCTTCATACATGTACATTTTCTAGCAAAAGATGGTACTGTCAAAATCCTTATTTGTTAGGTCTCTATTCTCTAGGTAAATTTTTCTGGCCCTTCAAATGTCCCTGATCATTTTGTCGGTGAATGACAAGTGTGAATTGTATTAAATCTGAGTTTGCAATGGTATATGGGCACATTAAATGTCGTCTGTTAACTGTCCATGAGATAAATAAGATTTTGTGGGGAGTATATCCAAGTGCTTCTTTGGCAGAAAATTGGCCCCTCCCCACCACCGGTTGGGATGATCCTACTGCAGTGTTTTCTTTAGATATATCTTCTATTTTTTTTACTCCTTCCCTCTCCCTTCTCCTCGCTGACATTGTATCTTCAGGTTGAAATTCTCTACCAGGATTTAGCGTCATAACTCTCATCCCTACCACTGCTGAATGGAAAAGAAAAATAGGATCTCTTGTTATGTATTTAAAGTAGAACTCAACTTTCTTTATTTTGTATAAAATTAAACATAATTTAACTTTTGAATAACAGAAATTTCTCTGCTACCATGATGGGTAGCTGAAGTCTTGTCTGTTTCTCACGGCATGATATGTTTTACATAAATATGATTGGAACTTTGTAAATACTTTTAATTTCCTTGCAATATTTGCAGAACTTGCATTTGCCTTTGTGTTTCGAGAAGTTCTCATATCTGCTTCTTCAGCTGATGCTGCTGTTCTGAAGAGAAAAGCAGGTAATTTTTCTCATTGACTGTGCCTTCATCAGTATCTTCATTCTGGAACATTTCATCTAAATCTGTATTCTGTAGACTATAAGTAGTATGATTTGCAGGTTTTAGTGAATTTGTTCAGTTAGACTGCTTACTTGTTCATTACTTTATCTTCATGAATTTTTCTTGGAATGGTCCTTCGAGAATTTTGTTAAAAGTCACACTTGAGGTGCTTAAGCCCTGAAGTAGGTATAGGCGTAAGCTAGGCTTCCCCTCACTTAGGCAATGCTGCTGTGCAGGCATCAAAACGCTACTATATGTACCAATGCACACATGAGCTCCCTATTGAAAAAGGACAACGGTAGACAATAATAACTCTGATAAACAGATATATTAATTGGTGAGGAAATTTATGGATGAATATGCTTTGTGATTAGAAGTATGAAATTTGAAATATAGTATAAGAAAACTAATCACTAAACCAAATTAGAAATCCATAATAACATCTTTGTATATATATCAAATCTGAAGTATGTGCTTCAAGTTTGCTTTGCGATCAAAACCCTAGGATACTTGGCGTGTTTCATCTCTTTGTTTTTGCCTTTGACAACACTGCTTTGGACTCTATGAATATTGATCTAGCTGAAGGGAAAAAAAACTTTATGTACTCTGATAGTAGGATACCCATTTTTGCTGGTTCAAACTTGGTTTAAATTTTGAATTCTGATTCATAATCTGGCCAAGTATTTACACGAAATGTTAGGAAGCCTATCAATGAATACTTCCTGAAGAATTTTGGTACTACAGTTGAAGCATTGTAGAGGACACAGTTTTCTTTTTTGATATGTTTAGTCTTTGCCGATTCCTGATGCAAATCTTCCTCAACTTTTTCTTGGGCTGAATATTTAGTTATCATCGTATTGGATTTTGTTATTTTTATATTTTAAATATAAGTATCAATGAGTTTATACCCTTACCTAATGATTACTGTTGTCTATATATCTGGCAGTTGTAAAGTTAAATGAGATGTTTGATGTCTTACTAATAAGCTGGGTAAAGCTAACTTTACTAATATGCTTGTGTCTTTTCTGATTTAGAGGAATTTGGTTCAGAAAGCAAAAGACTCAAGGGTATTGGAATTGGCACTTCTGAAGGTCCCATTTCTCTGGATGACTTCCGTAGCATGCAGCGGTCAAATACGGTAGTTCGCCATTCCCATTTATCAAAAATAAATAAAATCGGTTTCTTGCAGTCAGTTAAGCTCACTTGGTTTCATTCCCTATTCAACCTTCCTATGATTTCAGTTCTGTTACCCTTGTAGGAACTGAGGAAGCAACTCGAAAGTCATGTTGCGACTATTGATTCCTTGCGAAGTGAAAATCATGCTGTTGTGGACCATCATGAGAAGGTATGTTTACTTTTATGATTTCAGAATAAATAACCGCTGTGAAATTGCTTAATTCTGAGCGTAATTAGTGGTACTATTAAAAGTCTTGAGACAGATGGGTAGAAGAGCAAGTGTTATACCAATGCTAGTTGATTCAATACCATCAACTGTGTTAACACTTTAAACTGAAATGCTTCCTTAAGTTTTGTTGCTAATGCCAATAGCATCATAAGATGAAAAACCAGGATCACTCCTAATATTAAGGGTGTGTAAATACCATCAGTCCACCTGTCTCAGTGAGCTTTCCTTTGTCTTGCAGGAAATGAAAGAATTGAAGGAGTCAGTTTCTCAATCATACCTTGAACAACTCAAAGAAGTACAGCAGTTATTGGAAGCCAAGGGAAAGGAGTTAGTTGACATAAGTAGAGTATCTGCAGAGCAGAAACATGCGTTGGAAGACCTAAATGAAGGACTTAGTGCATCTGAGCAATCATGTTTTGAGGCCAATGAAATAATACGCAGGTAATGGCTGATGACATTGATTAAATAGGGAATAGTTGAGACGAAACATGAATGACAGTATGCTTTATTGCATTTATCTTGTTTTGTTTCCTCTAGCTTGTTCTTAATTAGATAAGCTCAAAAGTTTTAGTTTATTGTATTTATCTCCTTGTCCTCGCATGGCTTATACTAGTCTCTATGTCATATAGTTTATCCTATTTTTATTCTTTGGAAACACACATTCTTCTGAAGAAGCTTGTGATAAGTTTTAGGAAAAGTGAGTTAAAGATTTGAAGTGATGTCTGCCTTTTCAGCCAGAAATTATCAATTTCAGAACTGAAAACTTTGCTAGATGAGGAGCGTGAACAGAGGAAAAAGGAACGTGAAAAGGCTGCTTTGGATTTGAAAACCTCTACACAGAGAGTGCAGGCCGAAGCCCAGGAGGAAATAAGAAGGCTCTCAGAATCTGCTATCAAACGAGAAAAAGAGCAGCAAGAAATTATTAATAAGCTTCAGGTAGAAAATAGCCTGTTCTATTCACGAATATAGTAAAGCGTGTCATGCCTCTTTCTCATTCAACTCATAATGGCAGGAAGATGAGAAGGAAAGATGTTTACTGATGGAAACCTTGAGATCTAAGTTGGTAATATTGCTTAACCTACCTATTACTTACTGCAAGCCATTCCAGCTCTAATTCATTAGCTTGTAACAGGAAGACACCAGGCAGAAATTGGTTGTTTCCGAAAACAAAGTTCGTCAGCTTGAAGCTCAACTTTGTGAGGAACAATTATCTTCTGCATGTAGGAAAAAAGTAAGTATCTGCTGTCAAGATATCAATTGCTTCCCTTTTCAGTTCCTTGGTTGAGAAGTTGACATCTTGCATTTCTAATTTTTTGTTATAGAAAATAGAGGAACTTGAGCATGAGAGGAACATGTTGAGCAAAGAGCTTGAGAGTGAAAAGGTAGGATGACCCACATGAATTTCTGGCATTAACTACTGAAATATGGATCTTGGGATATTCCCCTTTTTTCCCTACTTGATTGAGCCCCATGGATGTGGAAGGAAAAAAATAAGATAACATACTTTCCTTTCTGTATGAAATTTTTGTTATGTTTGATAATTGAAAGAAGCCAATGCTTACTTGTGCCCCACTAGAAGTGGATCTGGAATTGAGCATAATCTATTGCATATTGTTTTCTATGCTCTCAAAACAATAAATGCTCCCAGGCACGATGTCCGAGGTTTTCATCTGAGGTCCCTTCTGGGCCCTGGATTCCCATTCCGGTGGACTTCTTCCATCGGAATTATCTCTTCTGTCTATCAACCTCTCTTCTTCTATTCATCTTCTTCTCATCATGGGTAGCGATATCATCTATTTTGCGGTAGGTTTTAAATCTTATGACATTACAAGGAAGATCTCAAGGGCTGAGATTTGGTATGAATGGGTGGAAAGAGGCCGAAACATGATGACTAGGGCGAGTTTCAGCCAGAAAACGATGGAGTGGATAGTTCACCTTTTGAAGGAAGCATCGAAAACGAAAGGAAACTCGGTGAAGAGATGGAAAAATCACGACCATTATTCTGAGATTTTCTGCTCAAGAAATTTTAACAGATTTGGTCGCTATTTTAGTATCATAAATTTGCAAGGAAAGAAGAAAAAAATTATTATTATTCCAGAATGGTCATTTAATTCAGGGTGGTTGGATATTGCTACTAAGATAACCAACTTCATTAATATCAAAACCACAAGGACAGTCAAGCTTTTACATCGTACGACGGAGGAAGGGCTCCTTTATGCAGAGGCTGTCAAGAATAATAAATGGTCAACCAGAGAGATGAATGATGCTGGGGTAAACAGGAAAGGAAATTCCTTATTTATTTCGGAAGATGCTAGGAAAACACAAAATGAACTTCTGGATAGGAGCGTGGTAGGCAGCCTACCAGAGGAGATCTCGAATGTCCATCTTGCTGAGATCCGTCGTTGGGCAAATAGTTCCTGGAAACAACACCATGGTATTTACATATATGAGATGGGACGCAACCAATTTCTCTTTGAGTTCCCAACCAAGACAACAACAGACCATGTGTTGAAGGGAGAATGGTTCTGGAAATCTCACAAATTCCATCTAGACTGGTGGACGCCATGCTCAAACTCCATCGAGGAAAGCCTGAAGGAAGTTTGGATCAGACTGGTAGGCCTTCCACTCCAGTTTTGGTCCCAAAAGATCCTTCGGGAGATCGGAAATCTGTGTGGTGGATGGATACAAACAGAAGAGGAAACAGAGCTCCGAAACCACCTAAAATTGGGCTAGAATAAAGGTAAGAGGGGATGAAGAATCAGTCCCAAAGACGGTGGAACTGATACACGATGGATATATCTTCAAGGTCCAAATTTGGATTGAAGCTCCGGCGAGGTTGGTGAATAGTGGACAAAGGGGGAAGAAGGGTATTACCCAGCAGTCTATGAAGAAACCCTACTTTATAGAGGGTAGGGGGGGTTTTGAGTCCACCGAGGTGATGGGGCACGTGGGCACTTCAAAGTCGCAGGAAAATTTGAATTTTACAGATGGGCAAACGTACCAGAGGTCACGTGAAAGGGATGAGGGTCTTGATACACGTGTGATAGCACATGCAGGCAATTTAAATGAGAAGAAGGAATTTTTGGGCTGGGGAAATTTGGGCCATGACCAGTGGCCCAAATCGGTTTTAAAGAAGGGGAGGGGAAAAATGCAAAAGGCCCAGCAGACCCTTTTATAGATGAAATAATAGCAAATCAGTGGAAAGAAGCGCAGGCCTCTCAACATATCAGAGGAGAAAATATTTTTGACACTTCATCAGGAGACTTACAAAGCGAGGGAGAAGAGCTAGATCAAGAGCTCCAGGATGCAACTCAGAGGGATGATGACGCTATGTCAATCATTCAGATGGACTGTAGATTAGAGATCGACACTTATGCAGAACAAGGAAACAAAGAACTTGGAGCTGTGAATGTTGAGGAAGCCACTCCATTGAATTACACCGAGCTACCAGAGAACTTCGAACCAACATCGGACTCTACAATTCCTTTATGGGTCCGACAGAACATCATTAATCTGGGAAAAGAATTTGGGATTCACTTTAATGGGTGTGAGGAAATTGCAGAGGAACTGTTCATGAAGATAGATGGGAAAAGGCAAAGAATCGGTGAAGAAGCAAAGGCTCTAATGTTGATGACACCAAAATCAAAAGTCTCAAAGGAACTAAAAAACCTGGAAGTGGGAACAAATTTTTTTAGCTATGGCACAAGAAGTAGGGGGGGATGCAACATCGTGCAGTCTCATGAAGATTAACATAGTTTCATGGAATGTGAAGGGACTAAATGATGCCAGGAAAAGGCTGGTGATCAAAAGTCTCATACACAATTGGAAGGCAGATGTATTTTGTTTTCAGGAAACTAAATTGCAAGGGGATATAAACAACTTAGTGAGAGATTTATGGGCCAACAGATGGGTAAAACATGCTCAATTAGAGGCAAGCGGAACTAGAGGGGGAGTCATTCTAATGTGGGACAGCAGAGTTTGGGAGGGGGAAGTATGTGAAACAGGTGCATATTGTATTACGTGCAAATTCACCGGCAAATCTCTGGACTTCAGCTGGCACATGTCTGGAGTTTATGCCCCTAATAACAGAGAAGAGAGAGAGAAAGTCTGGTGGGAATTGTGCTCGGCGAGAGGTCTTTTTTCAGGACCTTGGGTGGTTGGGGGGACTTCAATACAGTCAGATTCCCTTCAGAGAAACGAAATTGTACCAGATTTAATAAGGCCATGACAGACTTCACAGATTTTATCGAAGATGCAGAGCTACTTGACATCCAGCTAGCGGGAGATGTTTTTACATGGAAGAAAGGAGAAGGCCATGATCCTGCAGCCAGGCTGGATAGATTCCTGATCTCTGAGGAATGGGAGAACACTTTTAAGAACATCAAACAATCGACATTACAAAGGGTCATTTCAGATCATTGCCCTCTGATATTGGAATGTGGTAATTGGGAGAGACCAAACTCCTATTTCAAGTTTGAGAATTGGTGGCTTCAAACAGAAAATTTTAAGGAAATGGTGAAGACTTGGTGGGATTCCAGTAATTTTAGGGGAAAACCTGACTTTATCCTGGCAAGTAAATTAAAATACTTGAAGGACAAACTCAAAGAGTGGAGCAGAACAAGACAGGGAAACTTGGGACTACAGAAACAGAGCATTCTCAATCAACTGGCTGACCTAGAGAGGATACAAGACCAAAGACAACTCACAGATGATGAATCCTATTTAAGAGCAGTTCTCATCGTTGAATTTGAAGATAATGCAAAGAGAGAGGAAGTAGCTTGGAGACAAAGATCCAGAGCTTTGTGGTTAAAAGAGGGGGACAGGAACACTAAGTTCTTTCATAGAACTGCAAACAGCCACAGGAGATACAACAACATAGATAAGATTTCTGTTAATGGAGTGTGCACGCAAGAACCAGCAATAATCAAAGAAGAAATCTTAAACTTTTATCAGAATCTTTACACTGAGACAGAGAGGTGGAGACCTCAGTTCAGTGCTAGAAATGGCAAGATGATTAGTGAAGGGGACAATATCATGCTGCAGAGTCAATTTACAGAGGATGAAATAAAGGATTGTGTCATGGCATGTGCTGGGGACAAAGCTCCAAGCCCTGATGGGTACACTATGGCTTTCTTCATTACATGTTGGGAGGTAGTTAAAAAAGAGGTAGTCGCAGCTGTCCAAAATTTCCATGATCATGGTATTTTTGAAAGAAGTTTTAATGCTACCTTCATAGCATTGATTCCAAAAAAGATAGGGGCTAAGGAGTTGACGGATTTTAGACCTATTAGTCTAATAGGGAGCATATATAAGATCATTTCAAAAGTTTTAACCGAAAGACTTAAGAAAGTGGTTCATAATCTGGTGGATGCCCAACAAATGGCCTTCATAAAAGGTAGGCAGATCATTGATGCAATTTTGATTGCAAATGAATGTGTGGAGGAGAGAAAGAACAGTAAGGTGCCAGGCATTTTATGCAAATTGGATATTGAAAAAGCCTACGACCACCTGCATTGGGGCTTCCTCTGGAAGTCTTTGGAAAACATGGACTTTGGAGGAAAATGGCTAAAATGGATTAAGTTTTGCACTACAACTGTGAAGTTCTCTATTTTGATAAATGGTGCCCCCTCTGGTTTTTTCTCATCAGAGAGAGGATTGAGACAAGGAGATCCTTTATCTCCTTTCCTCTTTATCCTGGCGATGGAGGGCCTAAATGACATGCTCAGAACAGCCCAAACAAGAGGATGGATAAGAGGATTCAATGCTAATATGAATAACAGACAAGGTCTGGCCATCTCCCACTTACAGTATGCTGATGACACATTGATATTTTGTGATGCAGACAGCTCTCAACTAAAGTACTTGAGAGTAATTCTGATCCTTTTTGAAGCCATCTCATGCCTACACATCAATTGGAGAAAGAGCTTTATCTTTCCTGTCAATGAGGTGCCTAGGATAAACATGCTTGCAAATATTCTAGGGGGGAAGATAGGGGATCTCCCCACAACATACCTTGGCATGCCTTTGGGTGACAAGAGCAGGTCAAAAGGTATCTGGAACAACATTCTAGAAAAGTGTGAGAAGAAGCTGGTGAACTGGAAGAGTCAATATTTGTCCTTGGGAGGAAGAGTCACACTCATCAACAGTGTGCTAGATGCTCTACCCACATATATGATGTCTGTTTTCCATATGCCTGCAAATGTGATTGATAGAATGGATGCAATTAGGAGGAATTTTTTGTGGCAAGGAAATTGTGATCCTAATAATCATAAATTCCATCTAGTGAAGTGGGACCAAGTCATTCTCAGCAAAAAGGAAGGAGGTTTGGGGATAAGGAATCTGAAAATCCAGAATCAAAGCTTACTTATGAAGTGGTTATGGAGATTTGCCTCACAAGAACAAGCTCTCTGGAAGGAAACAATAAAGGCTAGGTTTGGTATGGAGAATTTGTGGATCACCAACCTGTCCACACAACCCTATGGAGCTGGAGTATGGAGATCCATTAGAAATTTATGGATCAAATTTTTTAACAAATGCAAAATCAGGGTAGGGAATGGTGGAAGGACTTTGTTCTGGGAAGACAAATGGGTGGATCAGGTGACTCTGAGAAATAGGTTCCCTATTTTGTTCAACATGAGCCTTCAAAAAGAGGCTACAATCAGAGAAATGAGAGATAATCAAGGGTGGGATCTAAGGTTTAGAAGACATCTAAATGATTGGGAGGTCAATAAAATAGTTGAGCTACTCAACATTCTAGGGCAGTACAAAGATCTAAACACAGATGAGGACAATCTATTTTGGAATCCAGATGAGCAAGGCAGATTTTCAGTTGGCTCGGCTTATAGAAGCTCACAAAGACCTGGTACTCATATAGGTGGATGGCCTTGGAAGATGATTTGGAAAGTCAAGATACCACTCAAGATAGCATGCTTCACTTGGCTGTTAGCCAATCAGGCTGCACTCACTCAACACAACCTCATGAAAAGAGGCATGCAAATCTGTTCCAGGTGTTGGTTTTGTGAATGTGAGGTCGAGACAATAAATCATCTCTTTCTACATTGTAGAGAGGTTGCGAAGTTGTGGCAGATTTTCATCAACTTAAGGGGCATCAGTTGGACTATGCCAAGGAACATCAAAGAAGCTCTAGCTTGCTGGAACAGAGATGGGAATCGGTCAGGACACAGGGAGAGATGGAAGATTGTCCCTGCCTACATTTGGTGGTCTATATGGATGGAGAGGAACCAGAGATGCTTTAAAAACAAGAGCTGCTCTATGCAGAATTTGAAGTTGAATTGCATGGCTCTTTTCTTTTTTTTGGTGTAAACATGAATATCCTCAAGATGCAGAGGATATTCCTAGTATTTTAGAGTTCTTATGACCTCCATAGGAGTTCTTTTCTTTTAGCAACTTTTGGATGTAAGTATTACTAGAATACTCCTTATGTATTCTTTGTTTATAATACAAGTTACCTTTCTCAAAAAAAAAGAAGTGGATCTGTATTCGTTTTAAAATTAGCACATGTTTAAAAATTATATGTGCAGGAAAGAATGTCAAATCTGAATCCTGATCTTTTCTTTCTTTTCTTTTGTTCTCGCTATCAATTCTTTTGCTGTCGGTAGCAGGCAGCTCGAGAAGAGGCGTGGGCCAAGGTTTCTGCTCTTGAACTAGAGATAAGTGCTGCAATGCGGGATCTTGATTTTGAGAGGCGAAGACTGAAAGGTGCTAGAGAAAGAATAATGCTACGGTAAGAAGTAGATGTGTATGACTGGTACTAATATCAATTAGATTTACTGGATTGAAGAAATGTCGTTGAAAATTTATTGCTTCTGGATCTGCCACAATCCATCTTTTCCCCTCTTATAAAGCAGTATAAATGCTAAAAGTAGAGGTTGTCCGAGTTTAGTGGATTTTTATGTGATGCTTTTTCCTCATAATTAGACAAACCTCAATTGATTTTTATGATAACCATATGTCAGCCTAGTCTGTTGACACGTGTTTAATGGATTTCTTATTTTTATCATTACTATTTGTGTTCAGAACAATTCTTTTAAAATCTTGAGCCATCTGAGAAGGAGATGCTGCTTTTAGTTAAAAAATAAGTCAATAACCAAATGGAATTATTGATACCATGCAAGATATTACATGTATCATTTCACTGAGAGCGATGATTTACACAGTAATGTGCTGAGCTTTTATTATCCTCTTTATATGTTGTCAGAGATGCTAGTGTTTGCTTACTGCCTTTAATCTTCGGGCATTTCCCTATCTCGACTTGCCTTATATAATGGTGGTTTATATTATGTGTTTGCAATGCAGAGAAACACAACTTCGGGCTTTCTATTCTACTACTGAGGAGATCTCAGTTTTGTTTGCAAAGCAGCAGGAGCAATTGAAGGCAATGCAGAGGACATTAAAAGATGAGGAAAATTATGAGAATACCTCTGTAGATATTGACCTTAATCCATACAATGTGAATGTGAATGGATCCCTATTAAGAGAGAAAGAAGTAGGAGATGGAAGCCACAATGTGACTAGGGCTGGCTGCAGTACTTCCAACCAGAGGCGTGTTAGGGAATTATTTGATTTATCAAGTGACGACGCAAGTGCTACAGAGAAGCATGATTGCAATAACAGAAGTGAAGGGGGACAAGACACACAGGAGGTAGAATTTGCTGGAGCTCAATGTGTGAAGGGTGGATTTGGTTCTGAAGTTGATGGTGTTGGGACAGCACCCCTTGAGGGAGATGGTGTGGGAACTGAGCTAATCCCTGATAGTGATACTGCCGGTGTAGCAGCCAATATGGAGGGTGACCTTGTTGGAACAGAACAGGTGCAAGAGACTGAGAGCTTGGGAATCAATAGTGAAAGGAATTTAGATTTAAACAAATTCTGTGCTTTTGCTGAGAACACAATGCAGATGGATGATGGAACTCTTGGGAAAGAAGCTCAGGTGCAGAACCCTGCAATTTGTGATGAGAGTATGCCTCCTTCCCCAGCAAATAATGTCGCTGAGGGTGATAATGTGATTGAAGATAATGTGATAGAAGATACTGAAGCTGAAGGAACCATTAGGACAGCTGATCTTTTGGCTTCAGAGGTTGCTGGGAGTTGGGCGTGCAGTACAGCTCCTTCTGTCCATGGTGAGAATGATACTCCTAAGAGTAAAGACAATGATGCATGTCCTGCAATTTTACAAGATTCAGGTGCTCAAGTGGGTGAAAGTCAATGCGCTACATCTACTTCCAAAACTTCTTCTAGATGGGATCAAGATCGTAAAGCACTAAGTGAGATGATTGGAATTGTTGCCCCTGATTTGAAGGAGCAATTCAGTCATGCAGTTGGTAGTGACTGTGATCAAGGAGGAAATGAGGGAGACGCTTCTGATTCCGCTACAGAAAGTTGCTCTGATGATGAGGATAACATAATGAATACTGAAGCTGCATCTGATGCAGAGACAGTTGACGGTGAAAAAGTGAATGAGGATGTAATGGACGAAGATGATGAAGCCACCCAAGAAGATTCTATTGGATAGCCGGCATACTTGTGGATTGAATTTGGTGCTCTCTGATTTTTTTAGGCTTTAGACGCAAATGTGACCATGGGTCATGAAGCCACACCCCAAGCTTTCGTAAACAGGAAGAAGGGAGGTTCGTGCTGTGATATCATATCTTAAACTTAGCATTTTGGAAAGCTTGGATCATGTACCCAAGGTAGGCCTAGTATTGCACATCTAAATTATCTGTAAGTTTCAATAAACGTTAGCAGTTTGTAACCAGTTTCAGATTTGTATATTTTTAGAGTACTGCTTAGAACTATAAATCTTGGTTTGGCCAACTCAATGTGCATTAGGTGCTGATTGTTTGCTCGGCACTCGCACCTCTAGTAAATTATAAACAGTGTGACAGACCGGCTAATTCATTATCTTAATATTTTTTTGTAGTGTTTTCTCCAAAGTTCACAAGGACTTGTGTAAATCTTTTTGATGGTTGCCAGCATACCCTCATTGCTGAGGAATACAACTTTACTTTATCAAAAAAAAAAAAAAAAAAAAACTTGTGTGGTCATTTATTCACAATTTTGGTACTGATTAAGCTTCTCTGCTGAGCCTTTTAGTTTCTTTCAGAGGAAGCAAAATATTTTGAGTGTCTGAATTGACCATCTTTTGTGGAAGCTAAACATGTGAAATCAAAGGGTAGTACTTGAACGCATACTGTGGAATACTGTACATGTGAAATAATGATTTAAAAACTGTTTCAATAGAATTAGGCATCTTGGTCCTTGAAACCTAACATGATGCAGGCCAAAAACAGAAGAAGCTATAATTAACTATCAAAATTCGAAATCTTAAAATGGGTGTCTTTTCCCATACCTAAATTGTTTGGCTAACTATTTTTTCACGAGGGTTCATCATTGTCTTCAAAGTTCATATGGCCTTGTTCATTGGGTCAACATTCAAATTACGCCACTAAAGAATAAAATAAAATAATTATTACCATGTATATGAAAGAGAGTTAATAGTGATAGCAGCAACAGCTAATAAGTTGAATTAAGGGACCATTTGAATTGTCCACACGTAGTAATTGGATAAACACCACAAGTCCACAATCTTCTTCTTCCTCCCATAATGATGAACAAGACTCCAAGAGAAAGAAAAAAGATGTGGGTTTAATGATGGTAATGTAGAAGTAGATAGAGTCCAATTTTGGCTCCTTTTGACTCTCCACCACCCTCATTCACATGCACTTGGAACTTGCTTCACCTGTCCTTTTGTATTCAAACTTCTTTTCATAAAAAAAAAACAAAGAAAAAAGAAACAATTCATCAACTAGAAGTATAACAACAACAGAACAAAAAGGAAGTAAGTGTTACGAAATCAAACTTGAAGAGATGGTTATGTATTATTCTTTATAGCTTAATAACAGTAATGACTTTATAGACAGAGGCGTATCCAGGATTTTGAGATGATGGGTGCACTGTTATAAAAATGTTGATCTATGATATAAATTTGTTTGGTTCGACATTTAGAATTTTACTATTGAAAACAGTTAAAATTTTAAAATTATAGGTCTAAAATTAATTCTTATATATATGTGTGTATATATATATACCAATTACCACTTAGAGAAGTGTTATCTAATTTTAAAAAGAAAAATAAAACAAGATAAATATAAAATTCAAATTTCTAACCTCGCGGTGAGAGGTGCACTCAGTCAGAATCGCACTATGTGATACTTCAAGTGTGGGTTCAAACATTTGTATTTCAATATTTTTTTAAAAATATAACACTACTTTATATGATCTCGGGAGGGAATCATGGGCTCACGTGAACCCGGTGACCTCCTTAGATACGCCTCTGTTTGTAGATTAATTAGTTTAGCTTGAATGATTTTGTAGATAGATTTTTTGCTATAGTTGGATGACCATTTAAGTGAGTCCATTTACTTTAATTAATATAGCTTTCCTTCATTTTTTACAAAACCAGGAAGCTAAGTTCAATCCTTGAAAAACAATGTGAAAATGCTTGGTAATCTTAACTGTTTCTTGTCTGATTACAAACATAAAATTTAACTTATTTGTGAAAGTTGTCAGCTTATTTGTCTTATAATCATTAGTCAAATTAAATTTTTGACTAGTAAATGGAATTAAATCCAAAAAAAATCTTTAACAACTTAATCCAACTTTAATCAAGGCAATTTATTGGGCATTATTTTTTATAATCAATAAAAAGTGTTGTATTTTGGACCCCTTCTTCGTATCTTCATCAATTAAATATTTTATCCTTTGTAATCAATCACTAATTTGCAATGACTTCCACAACCCAATGTAACTTTTGGACTTTGAATGCCTCGATCAAATAAACAACTAGCCTTTGCCTCAATCTAACGTTACATCAACTCGTTAAATTCCACTATACTCCATAGGCATCCTTTTTTCTTTTTGAGCGAGTTACACATTTGATTAATCATTTAAACAAAATTACAATAGATATATATAATATTATTTTATATCAAATATACATATTTAAAAAATATATATTTATTAATTATTATTTTGACGAACAATTATTTATATTAACTTAAGGTGAAGGGAGGGGGGGGGGGTAGTAAAAGATGAAAATTATGCATTTGTTTCAGCTTTTTCCACGGTCTACTTATTGAAGGAGACTAATTAAAGGAGTGTAATGATGATATTAAAAGGAGGAATGAAGTAAAATTCAAAAAGGTGACCACCAAGTTGTACTCTACTATCTAGTAATGCATTTTTCTTTTTCTGTTTCACAATTTGATGATATCTAAGTTTCGATAAAATAATAAAATGGTTCTTTGTGTTTGAAATAGATTCAAATTAGTACCTTATATATAAAATTGAACAATTTTGATCTTTTAAATTTATTAAAAGTGAATATTTTTAGTCTTCTTCAAATTAATAAAAATGCAGTTTTTGTAGTTTCTACGGAGTAATAATTATTTTTTAAAATCTATTTTCTAGAGATTAGTGCACTTCTTTTGTAGTGCAACCTTTGCCTATTTTTTAAAATTTTATTTTGTGTTTGGTACAGTTCTCTGGATTATGATTTCTAGAATTGAGGGTACATTTTTTTAGTGTTCTTTTGTTAAATTATTTCTTTTCACGTTTTCTTAAAATTTAACACATAATTTGTTAGTATTTGAAAAAAATCAAATGTGTTTATCTGACAAAATATAAAGAATCAAAATTCTTTAGTAGTACTATATTTAAAGGATTACTTTGAATCTATTTTCAAACGTAAGAGATTATATTTCTGTCATTTTTCTCTCTAAATTAGAATGATTCGACTAATTTCATTTTTTTGCTAGATAGGTCCATGAAGAAGATAATAGATTATTAACTTAAAATAGAGAAATCTCAATCATTTGAGCATATAAGCATTACAACAAGATAGATATTTAGAGAAATCTCAATAGTATAAGCATACAAGCATTACAATAAAAGAGATATTTAGTGACAATAAATTTTTATTTTTTTGTAATATTTATTGTCGTAAAAATATTTAACTGCATAGAGTTAATGTCATTATATTAAAAGTTGTTAGAAATTTTAACAACATTTATATAGAATACTAAATTGTTTCTAAATATAATATAACAATAATTATATTATTGCCGCTAAACGTTTAAGTGTAGTGATACAATTAACATTTAGTTCTTTTCCTCTTAGATTGAGACAATTATAGAAAATTCCAAAGAAACATTTGAAGTAATTCTATTTGTATTACTCTTTCTTTCTTTCTTTCCTTATTTTCTTTCTTCTTCTTGAGATATGGTTTGGCTACTTTGTTGGCCTTTTGTAATCATGAGGACCTTGTGTCATCATTGCTTTGGAAAAATATGTACTACTCTCCCTCTTCCTCTCTTCTTCTCAAATTATTAACTCTTTTCCCCTCATCACTATAAGTTAACCATCCTCTTGCACCTTTTTTCTAAGCTCAATCTTGATTATAATTAATCTACTTAATTTTTCCTATCTTTTTGTTTACCATTTTAGTGAAAGATCAAAATGTGTCATGCAGCTTCAAATCATTTAGAGTCATTTCAATCTTCATGTTACACTGACCTAGTCCACATGCCACAAACATCTAAAACAACAACCAAGATACATGTGCTCAAGCTAAGAACAAGGTTAGTATATAGCTAGTTGTTTTAATTTGCATTATCACATTAAATTGTTAAAATTAGTGAAGAATCTAATAAAATACAGAGTTTGTAAGATCATTAAATTTATTTCACTAGTCTAACAGTGTAATCACATACAAATATGAATTACATTATATAAAGTCTCAGTCTATATAATTGCATACTTGTTATAGTTATTTGCTTTTCGGAGAAAAAATCTTTCACTCGAACTTCATAGGAATTGGAGAAGGAAGAAGGAGAAAAAGTTTTTTCTGTTCGTTTATATTCAGAGAGAATGAAAAGATACGCTGGTTTCTCCTATGAGAACCCTTTTAAAATTCTAAAGCAACACAATTTTTCAAATAGTTGCATCTCTTTCCTTTAATTAATAAAAAAAAGATATAATAATAATCGTATATTATTTATTTATTAATATGAATCCGATCGAGTTGATCCACATGTCCAATTTCCTTCAATAAGTACTAATAACATGCCATAAATTAGTTAAGTCTTGCAAAAACATGCATCAGGTTAAGTTGGCTTAAGATAATAGATAGCTCTTAGTAGCAAATATGATAGTTAATAGAGTAATAGCAATATATAGCTATAACTAGTTATAATTAAATTGCATTAATCTCATTATTTTGATATTTGATTTTCAATTGATTTGTAATATGTCATGTAGGAATGGTGAAAGATTGTCGAATGAAGCAAAGAAAAGGGCAAAGTTAAGGAAATTGAAGAAACTAATGAAGATGAAGAACTTGAAGCTCTACAAAGAGAACAAAATCATTATTGAAGAGAATGAAAAGTTGCGCAAAAGAGCTCTTCTTCTTCATCAAGAAAACAAAGCCATGTTCACTCAAATTATTCAACAAATTTCTCAACCCTCTAATAATCACAATTATTAATGACTAAGTTAGCATCATATGATAATTATAGAGCTAATTATTAATTAAACCACTATTTAGCTAGAATATATACACGTACTAAATACCTATGCAAGTTATTTTATTATTACAAAAA